CTAAGGATAAGTTCTTGACGCCTAATATAAAGTTTTTATAGTCTAAAAAGTGCAAAAACTGGAATTCAGGGTACAAACCTAGCTCAGAAAACTTGTCTTGTGGGCCACCCTGGACAAGATTTTTAGCGTCCTTGTGGGCCACCGAAGTTTAGAACTATACTTGTGAAATTCTGCCGCTTTGAAATAAAAACTATCCTGGCACCGCGTTTTGCTGAATCAGATAAAATGAGGGCGAAAGCGATGTTCCCAGGGCCTTTTCGGGACGCGACATTTTCCCTGAAAAGTCTTCGCCCTGCACGATAAATCGTGCAAACCCATTAGCGCTTCACCCGCGGGGCCGGCAAATACCATGAAATGATTGATCGTCAGGTCGCGTTCTTTGGCCATGCCACGGGCTTTTGCGCGTGAAATGTTGCCAACATCCATACGAGTGAGAGCCACGCGCACCCTTCGAAAACAGCTACAGCCATCAGGGGGATGTTTCAAAAAGGACGGCGGTTGTGGTCGATTTTATTGTGATAATTCCGAAACTGCACGCAGTTGTTGGGTTGCTGACCAAAAGGTACGCCAAAATCTAGGAAACTATTAGCCGTCGTTTCGGCAGTGATTCTGAAACTAGTTTTTAATCAGCGAAAATTTCGGGAAACAAAAACGTCTCCTCGGAAGTGTACTTCCCGATCGGGCTTTCTGTCCGATTATAAAACGTTCATCTGAATCTCCCAACTGCGGAACATGAGAGGGACTTTGGGGATGGATGAGGATCGGGAGCAGAGTGGGGTACCCAAAATACACACGATAAAGGCGAGGTACGGTAGAGATAGACGGGCAGGGGCACGTGACAAAAAGAACTGAAAATCGAAATTACAGTGGAAATTACCCGGGAAGAAAAGGGGCGAATGGACTGGGATATCGATTCGGGAGCAGAGATACCGGGAGAATTGGGTACACGCATGGAAAAAAAAACCGGAAAATGGGGGGTACGGTAGGTGATGCAATCTGGGTAGGGACAAATTTAATGGAGATGAAAGGAAAAGGATGCGGCAGCGGTGTTGATCATTTCTGGCGCTGCGTCTCCCGCGAACCGCTCCGCTGCCACGGCCGCCTCCGGTTGCGCTCTCCGCGCCTGCTCCTGCCACGCCAACCGCTTCCGCCTAGAAATGGACGATTCAGGGCCAAAATCTACTTTACAATCCAGCCACAATTTCCACCTTCCTACCGCAATTTATTTGCCATTCTTATAAGAAAAATAAAATAAAAGTACCAAAATACCAAAATTTTTTAGCCAGTTTCGAAAATTTTCTAAATAATCTTTTGGTCTGAAAAAGATATCATTTTACTTAAAACACTATTAAAAATAGTGGCTACGGACTTGGAAAGAATTTTTAAGAATTTAGACTTACTAAAAAAATCCCTAAAGAATCAAACCGATACCTCCGCCGGCTACAGCCGGGAATGCCGGCGCGGCCTCTCGTCTTCTTCATCACCCTCATCCTCATCGCCGCCGCCCTTCTCGATGACGTTCCCTCCTCGTCCATCTCCACCTCGACTGCAAGAAAAGTTCGGTAAAAACAAAGTCAAAACTTGATTACCACTTCCCGCGGCCCTTTTCTTGCCCTTCGATATATCGTCAATAGCATAGGGTAGGGTTCGGTGCTCCTTCGTTAGGGCCCTGGTCACTGCAGATTTCACCTGAAAATTCAATTCGATTAAATTCGAAAATTCGGCTATTTTGTCGAAATTTCAATTTGTTGAATCCGTTTCCCTTCGGTTATTCATCTCATTTCGCAAATTGAATTTCGAGAAAAGGATAGCAAATCGAAAAAAATCAGGATACCTCACCTTGCTAGGAATCGCCGCCCCGTGGTCCTTCATCCCAGGCCAGCAAGCCAGCTCGGAAATCGCGTCCGAGTCGTCACGCACCAGGTCGTACTCGACGTACGTCGCAACGACTTCCCTAGAGAAAAAAATTAATGACTTTCTGGCAAAAGAGGCCTCTTTATAATTAATTCTAAAGGAAGGCTGACGGCAATTTTTTCAAACTATGGTTTCCGGACAATCGGGTTCCAAAACTAGCGTTCTCAAAACCAGAGCGAAAAATTTCATTGTTTTTGCCTATTGGTAAATCCCGAAATTTTTTCGGAAATGTGATTTTTAAAATGTATGTAAATCCGAAATAAATATAAAACAAAGCAAAAACCCACTGCACTCCGGTCTTTGTATCATCGGCGAGGAGCGGGCGCACGAGCTTGTTCCTGAGCGCCGGCACGTAGTCGGTGACCAGCGACTCCATATCGGCGCATATCCTGCAAAAAAATGAATTTCAACCAAACTGACTATAACAGTCGCCAAATGACAGATATGGCATAAGAGAAGTGAGAAGCAGGTCAGAAAGACAATACAAGGCTTTTCCTGCAAAAAGCAAAAAGTATGGAGGTATGGGGGGAATTGAACCCTCAGACCTCTCGCATGCTAAGCGAGCGCTCTACCACTGAGCCATACCCCGGTGAGGGAGGAGGGCGAGCGGGCGAGAAGAGGGGTCCGGCCGGATCGGGGTGCGTGGGAAAAAAGTGAGGGAGGGGCGGAGAGGCCAGGCAAGCGCCTTGGCACAAAGAACCGCTGTGATGGGGCGGAAAAGGGCAGAGAGAAGAGAGAGAGAGAGAGAGAGAGAGAGAGAGAGAGGAGAGACGCCAGTGTCGTATTTTGTAAAGATCAGACAAAACTATGAAGCATAAAATAAAATAAAATTCTACAGAAGCTTGCATAAACAAAAATACGGTTGATGGGCCATTTTTATCGACAATCGATATTTTTGATAAGTTTTTACTAAAAATTAGGAAAGTTTTCACGTTTTCTACAAACTCTTGCACTATTTATGGTGGAAAAATTAGATCCTAAGAGAAAAAATTGATCCCCAAAATGCGAAAGAACCAAAAATAAGGCCACGAAAGCTAAACAAAAGCAAGCTTTAGTCACAAACCTCAGATGCGCGTGCTGGGCGACCTGGCGAGCCAGCCGCTGCCGCTTCCCGGCCGTCGAATTTTTGCCCAACCAGCCGGGGAACGAGATCTAAAAGTACGTTTTTTGTAGCTTATGCGCGTCCTAAAAATACCTGCGTCTTCAGGTACCCATCCATAGCCATTGAGGGAAGAGCGGCGGAGAGCATAGACTAAATCCAGCGTTAGGATTTAATTTCCAAGGCTTCACCTCATCATTGAGAAGCCTCCACGCTCCCGTTGATCGGATCATCTTGTCCACCTGGTCGCCCATGCTGATCAGCTCGGCGGCGCGGCGGATGCTGCTCATGTGCTCGCCGGGGCTGAGAATTGAGGAATCTAAAATAACATCCCATAACCACTCACGTCCTCTCCTTGTTCGTCAATTGCAGGTAGTTCTCGAAGACGAACAGCGGCATGATGCCGTAGTCGACGAAGAACATCTCCTGCTTCTCCTTCAGGTCGGTCGACTTGCTCAGCAGCTTGCGCGCCGCTTCGAATGGATTCTAGAAGTCTTATTGAGGAAAAATATAAGCCTAGATGTAAACATATTAAAAAAGTAAAAGTGTTTCTAAACCAGCTTTTCATAAAAATTTTTATAAAAAAGCAAAAATACCGATTTTTCGACCATAAATGGCCGATTTTTGACCAAAATTTTGACCTTTTAAACGGTTTTTCTATTTGTACTACAGTTATTTTCACCAAACACACTATTAAAACACTTTTTCTATTAAGTTACTATACATTTCTAGACGTATATATAACAAAATAGAATCCCACAATTGTCACGTCCTTTTGCGCAATCGTGATGTCCGGCTGGGCTTTGCGCATCTGCAGGTTGTAGATGCACTGGCGGACGTCGTGGTTGGACAGTTCGATCAGCTCGTCCAACTAAAAAAAACAATAATAATAGATTTCTCGCAGTTCGTACCTCCTCCTTGGAGATGCGCATCTTCTCCTGGACGGCAATCGTCATCATTCGGCTCTAAAATGCTTTTCAAAAGCCGGTAGATGAACACAAACCCGAACTTGTTCGACACGAGGGCGCGGGAAGCGCACATCAAAGCAGTAGTTGACGAGACTGCGCATCTTCGGGTGGGAGCGATCGTTGCAGATGCAGATGATCGGGATCATCGTCGACTTGATGATGTCCATCAGCTCGCTGATCTGGAAAAATACACATTCGACGAAAAGATAAAAACCAACCCCAGCTCGATCCTCGTTGCCGCTCATCCCGTCCACCTCGTCCATGATCAGCACGTGGCGTACTTTTTGGGCCCCATCTAAAAAACGTGTTTGGATAAAATATATTCAAAAAGCAAAAGTAAAAACCAGAAAAGCGGGTGAAGCTAAGCCATATTTCAAGTGGACAGCTATTTAGAAAACGTCGAAACGTTTGAAAAATTGAATTTTTGGTCGAGAATCGCCCACTTTTGCTTGAGAAAAATGATATTTTTATGTTTTTCGCCCTCTGCTTTTCCGAAAACACCCAAAAAATTCAACACCGCCAAAAAACTAATGCTCACCTTCCTGCTCCCGCTCAGGCCGCAAATATTCCTCCATTTGATGCGAGGAGGTGAGCTGCAAGACGTGGGCTTCCAGGTGCTTCTTGTTGCGCACATCCGACGCGTTCATCTCGACCGTCTCGAACCCGAGCTGCTGGCAGGCCATCTTGGCGCACGTAGTCTTTCCGACACCTGCGCCAAAATGTTATGCTCTTTGAAACGTACGCACCTGGGGGACCACTGAGCAGCACCGCCTTGTAGATCGAACCGTCTTGGCCGGCAAGCCATGGTGGCGGACGGGCTGTAATGGGTAATTTACATTTGATAAAGCAAATTTTGTAAACTTTTTGCGTTTGGTAATAATAAAAAACGTTTAGAAACACTTACGCTATCGATATTTGAAAAATGTTACCCCTTCTGATAACTCGAAAGAAGCGAAATTCGACAAAAAAACTATCAAAAACCTACGCTTCTTGACCTTCGAGTTAGCGCCCAAATTCTGGTAGGCCCAGTCGCGGAGCCAGGGGATCAGCTTGTTCCACGGGCTCTTCTCCCCGTTCATCCCCACCAAATGGCTGGGGTTCATCGGCCTGTAGCGGTCCACCCACGGCGAGTATTCATCCTAAAAAAAGTTGCAGGACTAAGTAAATTGGCCTACGTATTCGGGCTTCTTCGGCTGAGGAGGCGGGGGCGTTTGCTTGACCGGGGAGGCGAGCGGCAGCTTCTTTTTCCTCGCGGGATCCTGAAAAACGAGAGTTATTTTATTTTCTATTTTTATACGCGCCCAGATTTTTTCGCGTACTCGGAAATCCATTTTTTGGGCTATATGGTACATGGCTACCGACGAATTGCCAGTTTTGCCTAAATCTTGAAAAAACCAAATCTATACATTTATTTTTGGGAAATAACCTCCGGTTCCGGAAAAATTTCGACTTCATCACTAGCTTACGCCCGAACACGCCCAAAACCCACAATTGTCTCGACAACCTCGTACAGTTCGTCGCCCATCTTCACATATTTCCCCTTGTCGCTGCCGATCTAAAAAAACACAAGGATTTCCGAAGTAATTTTAATAGTACCACCGCATTCTCCTTGGACCCGGGGCTAGCCTCGTTTGTAGAAGAAGGTTTGGTAGCTGCCGGTTGCGTCTAAAAATGAATATATAAAAGCGGATTCTTTCAAATGGTCACCGGAGTACACAGAAACAATTCTTATGAATCCGTGTAAGCCAAGCAAGAAGTTGAAATTTTATTTAGCAAAAAATTTTGGGTACATTGAAAACGTTCAAAAATGGCAAGCAATTAGAAAAAGTTTTAAAATTGCTACAAATTGGTCAACGAACTGAAACTGAAAGTTTTAGAGCTAAAAAGCACCAGACCGCTAGGTTTTCAAGAAGTGTTAGGAAACAGTATTGCACAAAACTTACGGTAACCGTTTCCTTGGCTTTCTCGGGTTTTTGTTTGGGTGTTGGGGCGGGGGCGGGGTAGGGGTTGCGACGGTCTTCGTGGTGGCGACGCTCTTCGTGGTACTCGTCTTCTTGTCCGCAGCCTTCGCGGGCTGCGGCTCGCCAAAAAAGAAGCCGCGCTGACTTGTTTGCTGCTCGATTGCTCTAAAACAAAACATTTTCAATAGCTAAAAACTGCATACCTTTTCTGGCCGGCTCGGCTGGCTTGGCCTTTCGCTCGAAATTGAGCTTCGTCTGCCCGGGCAAGAGCCCTCCTTTCTTCTTCTGTGGCTTCTTCGTTTCACGGAACTCCCGTCCTCGCTGTCTGTTCCCGAGACCAGCTAGAAGTTTTTTAACCGGGCAGAATGGCCTCACCACCACTTCATCCTCATCTTCGCTCTCCTCGGCGCGCACGGCTCTCGCCCTTTTTCGAGGGTTGTTTGACTGAGACTCATCTTCTAAATTTCAATTCAATTGCAACTCGATAGCTTTACCGTCAAATCTCGCCCTCTTGCCGCCCTTCTTCTTGGGCGTCGCCTTTTTGGGTGACGGCGTGGCAGACTTTTTCGATGGCGCCGGCTCGTCCCTCTTCGGAATCTAAACTATTGAATTATCAATTTTAAAACACAAAAAACAACCGCTCAAAATGACGGCCTTCTTGCGCTTGATCGCCGTCTTTTCGGCGGCTTTGCGCACGGGTTTCGGGAGCGGATCTTCGTCGTCATCGTCAGCTGCAAAAGCGACGTTTCAGTAGGAAAAGATATCTTGGTTCTTGAGTATTCCCGGGGGGAAAGCATTCGCGGGGGAAACTGAACTCTTTTCGGCCCAAGCCTAGATTTTAGGTATCAATAGTGGAAGTGTTTATAAATTGTTTATAGCTATTCCTAAGCATACAAACTTTACAAAATTTAATTAAAAAATTTAATTTTAGGTCGAAAAATCAAATTTTTCGACCCAAAAATGACAAAATTTTTGACTTTTTCAAGCGTTTTCTAACTTTTAAAAAAGTTTTTCCTATTAAAATAGGCTTAAATTTTGCTAAAAACAATGTGAAAACACATTATATTTGATTACTATGCCCACCAGGGCAAACAGAAAAAAAAGTGCCCGAAAAAAAAACAGAAAAAGGTTCCCCCCCGCGAATTGACGAATTGAAGTGATCCTTGACGATCAGATTTTTGAAAATGTTTCTGCAGATCCGCAGAATAAATTGAAACTCACATCCTTCGAATTGCATCAGCGAAGCGCCCCTTTTGCCCTCCACGTGCGGTGGCGGGCGTTTGCGAGGCGATGGCTTTTTGGCCTAAAGTTTGTTCGGTAAAATCATTGAACAGAACCACTCACACGATTCGTGGCGCCCTTGGCTTTGTCTTTTCCGGGGCCTCCGAAAAAGCGCTGGATACCCGACATCTAGTAGGTTTGAGACAGAACCTAAAAATCGACATTGAAATTGAAACCCGAAATCAGCGATATGTAGGTTTCATTGTTGTTGAGATAGACAATGTGTCAACATGGAATAGTCCTGGATTCAGAAAACCTTTAGAGAATTTATTAGCATTATTAGTTGAATGGCCAAGTGCACAAATCACAGGATGTCAATGTACAAAGTGAAAGACGCCGGAATCATCGCCTCTGCGCGACCAAATGTACAAAATTGTCAGGGTAGGCGAAATTTCGGACCATCCATAGCGCCGGCGTCTCCAGCGGCATCTCGATACCATGGCAGATGATTTTGGTGGCGTCAAGGTCGATCGTGCTGAAATCAATCCATTTAAAAAATTAGAAAAATATAGCATAGTTAAAAACGAAACCATTGAGAAAAAAAAATTGCAATTTCAAATTTTTACGCGATAAATTGATAGATAGATTTCTTCCAAGTTTTTCTGTTTGAATATAAACAAAACGGGCCCGTTTCATTAGAAAAAAAGATCCTAACTAGAATAAAACGGATACACAGGAAATCCTAAACACCCAGAAAACTTTTTAGAAGGGCGAACTTCAGAAAGTACGCACCTATCAATACATCGCACAGCTTCTTCTAACGTTGTCGGGTGGCCGGCAGTTAGTGGGGCGATTGTTTGTTGCTTGAAGGATTTACCATGCTAGAAATTCACGACTTTGAATGTAAAAATGGCTTCGAACCTCGTGGAGCCGAATGGGCAACCAAATAAATGGCTGCGAATCCGAGCATTCCATCAACTTGCGATTGACTGTCCAGAACGCGTCGAATTGGTCTCAAAGAACCGATTTGGGGAAATGATCCTGAATCTCACTTGTCGCCAGCGAATTCCAAAGTTGCTTGTGATCGTCGCTCTTCATACAGCTGATCATGTCACCCTAAGATAGTTGAACTCATCAAAGCGAAATAATAATAATACCTTTCTTTTCAAGTAATCCGCTCCTCTTTGACGGTCTGCATATACCAATACCCTGTGTTGTTTCCTTGTTGACAGTAGGGTCAGTCCGACCGGCTTTTCTAAAAAAACATTTACGAGACCGGCAAGCCACCAACTTTTGTTTGTAATGTAATTCGCCAAGGCAAAAGATCGTCCTGCTTGTGGGTGTCGAACAGGAGGCCCACAGGCAGATACCTAAATTCTTTTTCAAAGGAAAGTTGTCTTCTAAACGTTTTTAACGGCGTCCGGTCATATTCCAGCCAGGCGCCTTCTAGATCGACGCTCACGCCCTGTTTCACAAATCCCTGGACGACCTTCGGCATTATGAAGGTGAAGTAGCCACATCGCGGGAGCATCACCTGGAAATCAAGAAGATTTGTAGCATAAGAAAGTACTTACATAATATGGCCTGGCCGGCTCCAGCAACTCTTCGCTTTCCACAGTAATCTCCACGGGAATCTTGGCATTCCAGACTTGTCGTGCGCCTCGTAATCCATTGATGACGCTGGAAAGTAAACTAATAAAACGGCATAAAAGTGACTTCATACAGGAGGCGAAAAGCCGCTTAATATTTTCCGAAATACGTTTCATCAGTTTTGTCATTTTCTACCAGATTCAGAGTAAAAGATCTAAAAAACGCAGTGAATTTCAAAGAAGACTTTTTCGATATTCTTAGCGACTTTGTTGTTCAAACCTGATGAGCCGTACGGGGAAATACACAATACACACGGGAAGTGTGGGCAGACTACAAATGTCCCTTTGGCGCCTTCCGGCACCTGCCAATTCATTTTTGAACGGCCGCCCCAATTTTGTTTAGCCAACATCTGCCGATAATCTGCCATTCCACTTGAAATAAAGTATTCCTTTCAGTATTGGCATTTTTTCGCATCTTGAGCATACCTTTGATTTTTGTACCAAAATTATTTTTGCTGTTTTCAATGCCCTTATCCTAACCATCATTCCTCAGGATGAGCAGCGACTGCCGTATCTACGTGGGCAACCTCCCGACGATGTTCGCGACCGCGACGTGGAGGACATTTTCGAAAAGTATGGTCGCATCCGCGGCATCGATATCAAGCCAGGACGCGCGCCGGCTTTCGCTTTTGTGGATTTCGACGATCCGAGGTAAGGCTTTTCTGATCTTCGATCATTTGCACTTCTAGAGATGCTGAGGATGCGGTACGTGGACGCGACGGCTACAACTTTGACGGCATGCGCCTTCGTGTCGAGTTTCCGCGCGGCGTCGGACCACGAGGACCCGGCGGTCGTCCAATGTCCGATCGAGACCGTCGCGGGGGACACGATGACTATGGCGGCCCGTCGCCGCAACGAGCCTCCCAAGCGGTTCCGGATATCGCGTGAGGATCAGTGGTCTTCCGCCAACCGGATCTTGGCAAGATATTAAGGTAAATTTTTGCGTCTTCGAAATCCTTGGTTTGTTATGAGTGCTCTCGCAAAATCTGTGCAAGTATGGCTATGGTAGAAATGTAATGACTAGCCATTCCTTGTAATTTATACGAATTTTGAAAAGCTAACTTTCGCAAAAATTGAATCTTGTTTGAAATAACCGTAGTTATATAAAAATTGCTAAACTTGGTAATTTAGGATCATCTTCGTGATGCCGGAGACGTGTGCTACGCTGACGCTGCTGGAGACGGAACTGGAGTCGCCGAATTCTCGCGCTACGAAGACATGAAACGAGCTATCAAGAAGCTCGACGATACCAAGTTCCGCTCGCACGAGGTGACGCTTATATCAAATCGAACGATTTTTGTGGAGGGATTGGAGGGATAATCAAGACAGGAACAAGCATATTGTAGGTTGGTGTAGTAAAATCAGGGTTTCGTAAGGTTCAATTGAGGAGATTCCCCTTGTGTTTTTGTGACGTAAATTTTATTTAGGATCTGCCGGTATTTTTACCGTCTTATTATTCGAGTTTTGTACGGGGGCTTTTTTTAGCTTTTTTTTCGATACAAAATGCCTTTCTAACACGCCAGTTTTTATTTTTTCCGGTGAAACTACTGGCTTGCTCAAAAAGCAATCCGTTAAAGCTTACTCTTTCCGGCGACATTAATTGTTGATTTTCAGGGCGAGACGAGCTACATTCGTCTGACGGAAGAGAGCTCTGGATCACCGGGAGGAGGAGGAGGAGGACGTCGTCGCTCACCCGACTACAGCCCGCGTCGCAGCCGCTCCCGTTCGCCACCGGCCCGTGGACGTTCGCGCTCACGCTCGGTGAGCCGTTCGCGCAGCCGCTCCCGCTCGTGAGTCGACGTCGCTGCTATCCACTCACTTCGAAATCATTTCCACTTTTGTATATTGTTCATCCTGTTGTTATCTCTTTATATGGCGATGTTGGTCTCAATTTTCCATCGATAAGTTTTACTGTTCGGTTTTTGTAACCACTATTTTCCAAACGATGAGGATAAACGTTTCAAGTGTGTTTCGTCGTTATTATGACACAAGTGCGAGCAGCATAGCTTTATCACATGAGCCGGTGAACAGATGAAAACAAATTGTTCGGAGCTTCAGGAATTTGTGCCATCAACCTGGATTCAAATAGGTCGCTGGATATCTAATCTGTTACCAGCTCAGCGGCTCCTTCTCATGGGCAACGCCGTGCATTCGGACGACGTTTCGGTGCGAGAAGTTGCGCATCCGCTTGGCCTCCTTCATCACTTCGTTCATCTGTACAAATTAATTGGAGCTATTGATTTTTGTGGACCTTGGCCGAAGCTTAGGCTTAGCTTTAACTTCTGCGTACGCTCGGCTTAGACTTAGCTTATGCCTAGGGTCTCGGCTTAGGGCTTGCTTAGCTTAGGCCTAGGCTTGGTTTTGGCCTAGCTTAGGCTTAGTGTAGGCTTACACATTATTGGCGTCTCGCCTGGCCTTAGCTTAGACTCTAGCCTAGAGCTAGCTTAGGATTGGCTTAGACTTGGGCTGAAGCCTAGGCTCGGCTTAGGCTTGGCTTAGGGCTGGGTTTGGCTTGGTTAGCTTAGGCTTTGAGACAAGCTTAGGCCAGAAAAAAAGCTCCCAAAAAAAAGATGCCCCCTCAAACATCAATAGCTCCAATTAATTTATTATTTCAGGATACAAACCTGTTCTTGGTCCAAGGCTGTGGGCATGGGCGACCTTGATGGCGAGCGGGACTTCTGAGCCCAACTCCCATGCGGCCCGGCTCATTGGCTGCAGGAGAATAGAGGTAGGTAGCTAAATCAATAGAATAATATGGACCTGTCAAAATCGTTGACCCTACTTTTGAGTGGGATACGGCGTGTCCGATATTTGTCGATCAGGCCCTGGACGGCTTGCGCTTTGATGGTCCTGTCGAAGGAGTATTGAGGAGGTGGGTCTTTCCTCCTTGATGATGGCGTAGTGAGCGACCTAAAGCATTGATACAAGACCATTCAAAATTACTACAACTTTTTGAGCTTCGATTTTTGCGAGCTTCTTCGTGCCCTGCTGCTGTGCCGTGCAGAAGTTGGCTGAATAAATCATACAATATCGAAGGAGCTGCTCTTACTAACCCTTTGGCTTCTCGACGACGGCAATGCTCAGAAGCAGCTGACGCGTCTCGTGTGGTCCGGCTTCAGAATAACGAATCAGGAAATCGCCAGTCTTGGACAAGCAGGCCAGCCACATCAAGCCTAGCACCAGAATCAATCTTTGAAGGATGTGTACCTTGGCAGCATCCCGTGGAAGTAGGGCAACTCTCCAATATCCATGACTGGTTTGGGGAGGTCCGGATAGGGATAGATGACTTCCGGAGAAGAGTGAAAGTGATCAGTTTTTAATTTTCCTTTAGGTTACCATTTAATTTTTCCTTTTGTGTACAATGTAGTTTTTCCTTTAGTGTAAATAGTAAAATTCGTTGTTCCTTTACAATTTGGTTCAGTTTAAAGGGGTCAGGAAGGCACGATTGCAAACGCTTGATTTCGCCTTCGCGACCCTTTCGAAGCCTTTTTTCATTTCTGCCTTCCTAACCCCTTAAATGCAATCAGTTGAAAATATACTTCAGTTATAATTAACAAAATTATCTTATTCTTTTATGCGACTTGTGTTTACTATCTTATCATTATTATATACTTCCAGGACTGATATCTCGCGAAAGGCTATCATTTTGTATTTCTCTATTCCAGTCTTTCTTTAACTGTTATTTCCGGTTCGGCCTCAGGCTCGCCTCTTACGCAAGCAGAAGTAAATGTTTGGCGATTTACCAGGTGGATAAACAAATTTCCAAAGCCCGAAATTTTCTATGAACTTTAACTTTCAATTACCAACAACATCGCGGCTTTTCGGACTTCCTATTCGACGTAGTTTTCTTTTTACCTGTTTTCCTAGTTGATGCGTTGCACATTGATTATTCTATATTTTTGTTTCCAGCAGGATGGTGAGCGCCTTCTACCTGGAAGCAGCGCCGCCGCTCCTCCTTCGGCATCTGGCCGCTGACGAGATGGTCGTTTCTTCTGGTAATACTTTGGCAAACTTGGCACTTTCCTCGGCCAATTCATGGCGCTTTGCAGTTGCGGGGGGCAGTCCGGAAATTGGCACGAAGAGCTTAGGAGGGCGCTCCACTTAAGTTACTTGATTGTTAGCCCAAAATTCGTGGAACGGCGCCTGACGGAATTCCCGGTAAAAACACAGAATGTACTTATTTTTGCAATAACTCGAAAGCCACTGTAGCTAGCGGGCTGAAGGTGTCTGTGAACATTTTAAATACCCATTGGACAATTCCTGTCAAGATTCCAGGTAGTAAAAATGCCAGCTTGACCTTCTTGCCTTAGTGTTCTATACTGTAGTGTAGAACCACTGTAGTGATTTTTCGGACCTATAGAAGCCCTAATGAGTCGAGCCGAAATGATCCGAGCCGTAATTATCCAAGCCGTGATGATTCGCACCGAATAAAACGGAATTTTAGGTAAAAACCGTATTTTTTACCACAAATTATAAAGTCTCGACCTTTCAAACGCATCTTGATTGGCCTATCCGGTGACCGAATTATCCGGGCCGAAATTATCCGGCAAAAATTGTCCGAGCCGAAGGTATCCGAGCCGGAAATTATCCGAGCCGAAATTATCCGAGCCGAAATTATCCCAGTCGTAATGATTCGAGCCGAAATTACCCAAGCCATAATGATCGAACCGAATCAAAAAAATGCATTTTAAGTCGAAAAATGGATTTTTTCGACACAAAATGAGCAAATTTTCGACATATTTTCGCCATTAAAGGAAAACCGAATTGCCGAATCAAAGCCCGCTTTGATTTCTGGCATTTTGCCGCCGCATACAGGTCTCCGGTTTTCGGACCATAACTCTATTTTTGTCATTTACAGACTCCCCTTTAAAATCGGGTTTTTTTTGTGAAAGTCTTCGCATCCCTTTGTCTTTTTGTTAGAAAGCCTCCTACTCGAACCAATCCTGGACGAGCCAAAATGCATTTATTACTACAAGTATGAACAGTACGCGGCAGGGTTAAGCATGTCCCAATAGCTGCTCTCGATTTCCGACGTGTTCATTGCATCGAGCCGGATGACATCGGGTTGGCTCCAGAATGAATCCGGGGCCCTGGCTGCGCGTTCGACCATTTCGTGGGCAAGCTTTTCGAACGTCTAAACCAAACGGACTTTAACGGTTGGATCAGCTTTACCTCGACGATATTTGCGTCAGTTTTTGCAGAGGTCTCAAGGTGTTCCAGGCAATTAGCATCGGCAAAGGCCTGAAATGGCGTTTGAGAAATTTTAAACTTTAATTTTAACGAAATCGACTTGCAAACGAAGTTACCTTGACAGTTTCTAACGAAACTTCTCGCTCCTCCTCCCGATCCAGCTTATTCCCGATTAGCAAAACACGTGGTCGTCTCGCTCCTTCGCTATAAAATAGCGGAGCACTTTACTGCTAGCAGGGACCTAGCTTTGACCTGTGGTGTTTATCTAGTTTTTTTCTACTTTTTTATAGTTTTTTATCACGTACGTTCATGAAAAGTTTAAAATGTTGGGATTCATTTGATTCTCGGTAAAAATCCATAAAAATGGTCAAAAATTTTGACTTTTCTAAAGGCATTATGTCTTTTTAATAACCAAAAACTACTGAAACTATGCGTTAAAACGCTAAAAAGGCATGATAGAATGCCATTTGGTATTGGTAGATAGCTTCCCTCCTTTTTTAAGCAAGCTTACTCTTTGACTTCAGCTAGCCACCCAGGAATCGCGTCGAAGCTTTTCTGAAAAAAAAAGAGAGTGATAATTAGACCTTTTTAATGCTGCTTTTTGCTGTATCTATGAATTTATAGACTTTCTATAGCCCGAAATCTTCTACCTTTTCGGTGATCGAATAGACGACAATGATCCCATCGGCGGCCCGTAAATGGTTGGTTCGGAAGGGGCGAAACCGTTCCTGCCCCGCCGTGTCCCACTAGATTAAAAAAGTTTTTATAGATGATAAATTATTTTTTTAGACTTACAATTTGTAGTTTGACAACTTTCCCATCGACTGTCGCAGATTTTACGCGCTGAAAATCGTGTATTTTGGCGAAAACAGCTAGTTTTCGAGGAAATTCGGAGTTTTAGGAGCCCTGTTTTGTTTATGCGGCATAACCTTACGTAATCGATGCCAATCGTGGATTTCTGGTCTTCGGCAAAGGTGCGGTCAACGTACTGCGAGATCATGCTGCTCTTCCCAACCGCCGCATCGCCCAGAATGCACACTTTGAAGAGGTAGTCACTAATTAGGCGGGTTTTTAAAGGCCATTGAAGGTAGGCAGTAAGGAATTTTAGTATTCTTTTGTAGTAGGAGAGTTTTTGATGATAGCAGATCGTAAGATCACCGAATCGAATTTACCCCGATTTATTATTATTTTTTCGGTTTTTAGAATTTTTTATAATCCTTGAAATTGATAAATTCCGAAAAGGCAAGTACACATTTTACAAAATTTACACAAACCAACTTTTCGGGGTTGGTCTAGTCTCGAATATATTTTTTCCCTTAGTTTTTAGCCCGTTTAACTATAACTGACGTAGAAAAGCTATAAAAATTCAGAAAAGTGTTTTAAAAAGTCGCAAATTTGGTCTTTTGGGCCGTAAAAAACCATTTCTTTTTGTCAAAAATTAAAGCGTTAATAGAAATCCACGTATTATGCTCACCGATAGTTGAAAACAATGCACAAATGCATACGCTATTTACAAAAAGTCCAGGCTTTCGCCGAAAAAAGTAGATTTTTGGTTTAAATTTGGTTTTTTTATTTTTCGTTTTTTTAGCAAACGAGTTAGGCGGGAATTTCGACAATTTTTAATATACTTACTAGTCGTTTGCCATCGATTTGGAGCTGTTGGGGTGTGTGAGCTGTTTTGTTGTCGGGGCGCTGCAAATGTGGGGCACCGGAGCAATCGACCCTGAATTTTTGTTGCCTCAGCAAATTGATAGCACATTTTGTTGCGGCAACGAATTGGCCGAGTTTTCAATTTTTTTTTTGCCCAATTTTGGCCATTTTGTGCCGAAAAATCGGTACTGAACTGTTATCGGGGGAACTAATTTTTTTCCGTCCATACCTATCTGTCAATAATAAAATGTATTTTTAGATTGTTTTTCGTAGTTTTTGATCGCTAGAAGGTTACAAAAAAATTGATGAGTTTTAGATTTCGCTAATTTTTATCTTTTTCTGGCTATTTTCATAGACTTTTTGTATTTCGAGGTTTTTGAACTTTGTAAAATGCTGTAAAAATGGTATATATTGTGTATTAATAATATCTGATCCAATTCTTACGGTTTTCTTGAAGTTGAGACCGCTTTTTTCTGTTACACATGTTTTTCAGTCCATTTTATCGAAGTAATTATCAAAGAAACACTGTCATAAATTCAGCAAAATTTCTAAAACCCGTGAAGCCAATGGCAGCGCGTCGAATCACAATGTAAATTGGGTGTTGTACTTATTACGAGATACTACAGGTATAAAAGCAATTATAATCAGGATTTTCGCAGAAATATTTTACAAAAAAAATGTTCTAAAAATATCTTTACAGCTCGTACAGCGAGCGGGTCTCCTCGGCGCCGTCGCGCGGGCTTTCGGCGTTTTCGACGTCGCGCGCTGGAATTTTCTATGGTTTAAGGTAGAATACTTTTTAATAAAATGGTAAATATTAGCTATTAGTAAAAAAATATTTAAAATGTTAAATTGAGTCTAAAAATATACGAAGTTTAAAGTTTAAATAGAAATCTAATCTAAGAGCTTTCGCATTATCGGGGGGGACAACAATTTTTCTTAGGATCTAATGTTTCACATATAAATAGTGTTTTTTGAGTATTTATAAGCGATTTGCTACTATTCCTTAACGCGAAAACTTACAAAATTTTATGAAAAAATATCAAAATATCGATTTTCGATCAAAAATGGCTGATTACTTTACGACTCTTTTAAAACATTTTTAAAGCCTTAAGTTGGTTTTTCTAATTGGAACAAAGTTATATATTATGAAAACCACTAATGAAGACTTTTTATTTATTTAGTAGGCATTTCTAGGCTTATACAAAAAGTTCGCCCCCGATAATGCGAAAGAACCGTAATTGGGTTACCCTTTTTCCTCCGTTCCAGCGTCATAATGTCCGGCCAGTGGAGGGCCGGTTGGCTGCTGTGCAGCTGCAGGCGGATGCTCGAGTTCGACGAGGTTGAGCCCTTGAAAGAGGATTTTAATTTAATTTTTTTATTAAAAGTTAGTTTTATTTCAAAGGCGTCAGGAAGGCGTGCGAAGACACTTAGTGCACCTAGCAGACAGAAATTTAGTCTAGAACCAACCTGCGACTCGGCCCACTCGGCAATGTGTACCTCAACAGACTCTGGGTGTACTTCCAACTCGCGAAGAGTACGTGTTACAACCTGAAGATGCGATTTTCATAGATGTTGACGGAGAACCGATTACGCCATGGAATTGGGCGGCTAAAACTTGATTCCAGGCTTGCTGAAACCTCTTAATTCCAAAATTATCCTACCATTTCCACCGCCAGCCGCTTGTGAAAGGGGCGTGGCATGAAGCGGAGCGCGTATTTCGAATCGGCCGCCTCGACGGCGTCCAGAATTTTCTGTTTCGTCTCCCGAAATTGCTCGTCGCTGATGACGCCCGGCAAGGAATTGACCACGATGATCTGGAGATGGCTTTTGATTTCCCAAAGAATCTCTGCTAGCCTGCCCTCTTCTCTTCCTCAACAATCTCTGCTAGCCTGCCCTCTCCTCTTCCTCAACAATCTCTGCTAGCCTGCCCTCTCCTCTTCCTCAACAATCTCTGCTAGCCTGCCCTCTCCTCTTCCTCAACAATCTCTGCTAGCCTGCCCTCTCCTCTTCCTCAACAATCTCTGGTAGCCTGCCCTCTCCTCTTCCTCAACAATCTCTGCTAGCCTGCCCTCTCCTCTTCCTCAACAATCTCTGGTAGCCTGCCCTCTCCTCTTCCTCAACAATCTCTGCTAACCTGCCCTCTCCCCTTCCTCAACAATCTCTGCTAACCTGCCCTCTCCTCTTCCTCAACAATCTCTGCTAGCCTGCCTAAAAACACACCTTAATCGGCGCGGCTCCGGCCGATCCGCTACTCCGGACGGTCGGGTACCGAGATGAGGGCCCGGGCGAGCCGGCTTCAGTTGACGAGATGATATGGTTGCGTAGTACCTTCAAAAACGATACTTTGAGGTTTAGCTCATGCTCTTGCTCAAAAATCCAGCGCCTTAAAAGGGGTTTAGACACTTTTGCAAGACGTAAACGATAGCTTTTTTGCCTTATTGAGGAATGATCGCGAGGCTGGACAATTAGGATAGATCGTGCTCATCATTTTTGAGCCTCACCTCAAAGTATGGGCGATAGAATCGCGGTCCCGAAGCCTGTGGATCCGGACAGAACCAGTGGAGATCCGGGTTGATCTCGGCTGTCGACGCGCACACCACGAGATCTTTTAGCGGAGACCGCTCGACGAGACTTCTACCGTAGGCCCCGATCAGCGACTGCAAAAACGGGGTTTAAAATAATATTGATTATTATTTTTACTTTACATATATTTTTCTAAAAAATCTTTGTAGAGCCATTTTTGCATTCCTTTTCCAATTAAAAAGCAATTTCGTGAGCTTGCCGGCTCGTCTTCTAATTTTTTTGAAATATTCTGTAAAAACCCCTAAATTTTACATATTCCCTGTAAAATAATTTTTAGAATTTTTGCGGGGGTAAAAAAGCAATTTATTAAACTTTTAATTATAAGAAAATTACAAAAAATATTTCAACATTTCCGAAAATTCGAAAATTATGACGAAAACGCATTTGGCGAAAAAAAATTGAGACGAAAATGAAGGGAAAAGTTTTTGTATGTATGTTTCAATCCAATGTGAAAACCCAATTGTTATTTATCGTGAAAAATCGCAGTTTCACGTTTTTGCGAATTTTGAACCATGGAAAAAGTTTAGGAACAAAAAAAATTCCAGTTTTGGCAATGTTTTTATGTCGAAGGATAGACAAAAAATACACGCAGTGACCTTTTTCAGATCTGGTGTATTTTTGAAACACTGGTGCCGATTTTAATTCCTAGAAAGGTTAGAGTGCAGCTTACCCCTACCCCCCCCCAGCCCCAGCTTTAGTATCTCAGCTCGCTGTTGATTTGCGGGGTGTGAAGTATCCCAAAATACTCGCCTTGGCCGTCGGAGTTTTTTGTTGTCACCCCCTTTTTTAGGTAGGGTAAGTGAGGGTTGGCTGGGCGGGGAAGGGCGAGGGGTAAACTGCACATAAGCCCCTAAAAATTATTTTCACCTGGTGGAACGGGGGCAGAATGTAGTCGGTGCGGATGTGGCCGCAGATTGGGAGTAGAATTTCCTGGAATTTCAGCCAGTTTAAGTGAGTCTTCTTTTCATCTTTCCGAAAATCATTTGCCCGCAATTCATTCTTCCAAAACCATATTGTCGAAATTTCGAAAAATGCCTTTTTCGCCTCGATTATCCATCTCAAGCATGTCAACAATTGAAATGTCGGCAAAATGAAATGCCGGCATCGCCGACATAATCCGCAGTAATCTCTGCTAGCATGCCCCGAAAAACTCATGCTCAACCGACCTTCAGCTCCCGCTCGCTCTCCTCGCTTTTCCGGATGCCACGCCGGCTGATCGAGTGCGACGTGTCGGCCACAATATTCGGCTCTCGGCTCTGAAAACATAGATTGTTGGGCAGGCTAGCAGAGACCATTTGAAAGTTCGGTTCTTTCGCATTAACGGGGGGGGGGAGAAATTTTAGTCTAAGGGACCAATTTCTTATATATAAGTAGCGGCAGTGTTTCTAAGCTGTTTTTACAATTCTTGAACGTAAAAACTTTACAAATGCTTATTAAAAATACAAAAATATCGCCTTTTGCGCAAAAAATGGCGGTTTTGATCAAAATTCCAAATTTTTGGAAAATTTTCAAAGTTTTGAGGTAGTTTTTCTATTAAAATATAACTTTAGTTTACTCAAAACGTCATGAAAATCTTCCTATTAAGTAACTAGACATTTCTAGATTCATAGAAAAAAAATTTCCAAACTCCCGATACCCCCATTATGCCAAAGTATCAGAAGTTAATCTTAATCATTGCGCTAGACGGATAAAACGAGGATTGATGCCTTACCGATCAGCTTTTGCTTTGAGAAAAACCGAAACATCAGACTAGATTTTTGGTTTTTACCTCCATCCGCTTCAGCAGCTCGTGCTCACCCCATCGTATCGCCGCCTCCAGCACCTCGACCTCCGTTGACTAAAATTGTCGGTACTGTTGCATTATCGGGGGGATTTTTTATAAACCTAGAAATGTCTAGTGACTTAAGAGGAAGTTTTCATAATGCTTTAAGTATAATAAAACCCCCTTAAAAAAACTTAAAAATCTCTAAAAACTTTGAAAATAAAAAAAAACAGATTAGAAACGCTTCCGGTATTTATATTAAAAAAACGGTTCCTAAAATTTTCTTCCCCCCCCCCCGATAATGCGCAAGAACCAAATTGTCTCTAAAAGACGATTATAATACAAAAATTCGTACAGACTAGCAGGGACAAATAACAAAATAACCTGAAAAGCAATGCGGCGGAAATTTTTAAAAGCTAGCCGGTATTTTTGCGCAAAATTACTTTAAAAATTTGTTCGTATGCAAGGCGAGCTAGCAGAGATCGTTCGGGGAATTTACTTATGCTTAGGCTTAGGCTTAGGTCTAGACTTAGGTTTAGGCTTAGGCTTAGGCTTAGGCTTAGGTTGTCAAGCTTCTTTGATGGTACCATTGATGATAAATTCTGAGCCCCAAGCATGTTTCCCTGCGAAACAAGTTTCTAGCCATTGCGGAAGCCAGCAAAGATTCTTGGGGGAATCATCGTCTCTAATTAATGACGTCCAAAAACCTGAAATACCTGCAAGAAGTGGTTGCCGACCACCTGCTCCAGCTGGTCGATGCCGAGGTAAAAGAGGTGATGGGTCGAGGCAAGGCGCGAGAATTCGGACGCCTGAAAAAGTCGGTTTCGTCAATTTAGCAGGTTTAAAAAATAAAAATCTCAGGAATGCGATATCTTGACTTTTCGGACAACCTGACCGCTGAAAAACACTAAAAAGCTTACCAAATATGCACGTGCCATGTTGGCCACATAATGGCTTCCCCCGTCCGTGGCCCAATCCAGGATTGATGCACAACTATCGACGGACAGACTCGCCACGATCACGTCTTCGCATACTAAAAATCGATGATTCCCAAAGAACATTTGCTAGCCCGCCCCTTCCTCAAGAATCTCTGCTAGCCTGCCCTCTCCTCTTCCTCAACAATCTCTGCTAGCCTGCCCTCTCCTCTTCCTCAACAATCTCTGCTAGCCTGCCCTCTCCTCTTCCTCAACAATCTCTGCTAGCCTGCCCTCTCCTCGTCCTCAACAATCTCTGCTAGCCTGCCCTCTCCTCTTCCTCAACAATCTCTGCTAGCCTGCCCTCTCCTCTTCCTCAACAATCTCTGCTAGCCTGCCCTCTCCTCTTCCTCAACAATCTCTGTTAGTATGCCGTCTCCTCTTCCTCAACAATCTCTGCTAGCCTGCCCTCTCCTCTTCCTCAACAATCTCTGCTAGCCTGCCCTCTCCTCTTCCTCAACAATCTCTGCTAGCCTGCCCTCTCCTCTTCCTCAACAATCTCTGCTAGCCTGCCCTCTCCTCTTCCTCAACAATCTCTGCTAGCCTGCCCCTCTCCTCTTCCTCAACAATCTCTGCTAGCCTGCCCTCTCCTCTTCCTCAACAATCTCTGCTGGCCTGCCCCGGCAATAGACTCACGCTGTACGAGACGATGAAGCCCGAAAAATCTCGCGATATGCAGTAGATGACCAGCTTGCTGAAGGGCCGAGTCCGTTGACTGGCCGCTGACCATCGCGCGGGCCTCGCTCAGCGAGGAAGCGCTGCTTGACGCGCCGGGGATTATCTGAAAAATCAGAAATGAAAAAATGCGTTTATGAAGAGAGAGAGAGAGAGAGAGAGAGAGAGAGAGAGAGAGATAACGGCGATACCTTGTTCAAATCCAGCTCGTCCTGATACAAATAATGCACAAGCACGGGGGCAAACGATCGAGGGAGGAGGTTCTCGTCGAGTACCTGAAAATTGTCACTGGAGCACGAAAAAATGCACAAAAATCTGCAGGCTTAGCTTAAGCTTCGCTTACAAGCTTCGAAAACCCACCACTTTCTCGCCGTTTCTCCGCTTCACCAGCGAAGCGAACAGCTCGGACCGCGCGGCAATAATCTCGGCGTCGAGGCGCAGCGTGTACTCGTCTTGCCGGCTTTCTAAAAAGCAACGTTTTAGATGTATTTTTTGCTAAAGTATTTTTGTAACTTTCTTATATCATTTTTGGTACTGGAGTGTTAGCAGGGGGCGGGATGAATTAGAGAGAGTGAGAGAGAGAGCGAGAGAGAGAGAGAGAGAGAGAGAGATAGTGAGAGAGAGAGAGGGAGAGAGAGAGAGAGAAAAAAAGGTAAGTAGGCTCATCAGCATGTTTCATCTCAATACCTCAACCAAAACTGCAATCTGAACCTATTAAAGCGTTGTTCACTGCACACGTGTATTTTTATAACGCTTTTCCCAGTTTTTGATTGCTAGAAAGTAAAACATTTTTAACATCTTGACAATTCCAAAATTGGCCTTTTTGGTCATTTTTCGTATTTTTAACCGAAAAGCCACCAATTTTCCCCATTTTTATCGTTTTTATAGGAACTTTTTATATCTAAAAACTGTGTTAATGCTATTAAAAATTGGGGTATATTTTGCTAATTTTAACCCACTTTTCCCGGGTTTCCCCCGCTGCAGCGAAATCACGAAATCGCCCTCCCGTTCCGCGGCCTCTTGCAGTTTTTGCAGGTCGACGGCCAGCGGGTTTTTCACCTAGAAATTAAAAAGTTAAATGGTTTTCTTTATTTATATTTATTTATTTATTTACTATAATAAATGAATAAATAAATATACCTTTAAGATTCCTTTAATGACGCGCAACGTGTCGGGGTTGAGATTACAAGAATCGGTGTAGATGAAGCGGATGAATTCGCTGAAAAAAGATGTTTCGTGTTTGATGAAAATCGCCTAAAAAACATTTTTCGAATTTGGACAAAAACACTTAAAAAACACTCTTCAATCAACATTCTATAAAACAAAACAAAAACATTGTTTGGTTCTTTGGCATTATCGGGGGGGGTTGTACTCGTCTAGAAATGTCGGTTCTGGACTGTAAGCGGGGAACCAAATTTTTCCCCTGTGATTCTCTACAGCCCATCAACAAAATAGAAATCATTTTCTAACATTTTACACAGTTTTTTTAAGAGACACAAAGAATACCAAAAACAAGAATTTTCGAAAATTTTGGTGTTTTGGTGAAAAATGTAAGAAAAATTACCTAAAATGAAAATTTTCGAATTTTGGAAAACTTTTAAAACCTTTTTTGTAATTTCTAGCAATCAAAAACTATGAAAAACATTATAACAAATTGAGGTAAGATAAGAGGTAGATATAGACGGAAAAACAAAAATTTGGACCCCCTGCTAACAGTCCAGTAACCAAAAAAAAAAAACATTTCTATATATCGCCAAAGAAAGCATGTTTCGCATTTTGAGCGCAGCCAAAAAGCATTGTGAACGATTATTGCTTTAGAAATTATTTGGCAGATTACTTCTATCTTTTTTTGGCGCAACGTTACATACCGTAACTCGTCCACAGTAACGGTGTGTAGCGGGGAGGAGAGCTCGATTACGGTCGTTCCCTCCGAGACAGCTTCGGCGATGAATTCGCTCCGAACTTTCAAAAGTCGCCCGTGCACCTTCAGGGTTTCGCCCTAAAGAAAATAACTTCTCTTTATCATAAATTACATTATTTTGAGTTGTATATAAAACTCGTAGTATATTTTTTGAAGTTCTATCGAATAGCCTTAACAGAATGCCGACAAATATCGGAAATCCCGAAGAATGGCTTGCCAACCCCATTTTCAGCGTTAGTTTCGCCTTTGTCATAACTTTCTTAAATTAATGTGTTTCGGTTTCATTTTTAAATTTCAAAATTTCAACAAATCGACATTAAACTCCCCCCCCCCCCCCCGCTAACGAACCAGAACCCTAAAGCTTGCCAAACCTTAAAAACCAGCTCCATTGCTTGTGTTTTCGAGCCGAGCAACTGCTCGCCAATCGTCGAAACGCTCGGCCGAGCCGCGTTCGCCGCCTCGTAGAGCTCGGCTCTAGATTTAAAAATTAGTTTTATACAAAACTTTATACATTTTTAGTAAAAAAATACTAAAAATATCGATTTTCGAACAAAAATGCTGTTCAGGACCAAAATTTCGACTTTTTGAAACATTTTCTAAGCTTTTTGATAGTTCTAGATAGTGGAATTGTTTCTAAAAGCTTTTTTACTATTCGTAAAAGTGAAACTGCACAATTTTAGAGTAAAAACTTTCATAATACTGGTTTTTCGACCAAAAATGGTCGATTTTTTTCTTTTTTTACGGCTTTCAGATCGTTTTCGAGTTGAAATATAGTTTTTAATTATTAAAAACACTATAAACACTTCCTATTAAGTTAGCAGACATTTCCAGATCTATACAAAAAAGTTCGCTCCCCCCCCCGATAATGCGACAGAAACCAAATTACATTTGTCGCATGGCGTCCATCTCGCGGAACAGCGACTCCGCATCTTCCAACGGCCACGTCGAGATCAGGTCGCGGAACGTCCGGATTTTATCGCGATTCGCCGATTTACGCTAAATGTGTGGTTTTTGGAAAGTCCGGATCCTTTTTGGCAAGTAATGAACAGCCCGGGCCGAGTTGATTAACTTATTGATTAGAACATCTCCACGACGGCGCGTAAAATTTTGAAACATTATTTTTATCAAAAACTTTAATTGCTAACGTAGACATTTTTTTAATAATAACGCCCACCTTGAAGCTGATCTTGGCAAAATGGCGGCTAGACGCCGCAGCTAGCACACTCAATTTTCCCTTTTTCTTTGGCGCCAGCCGCTGCTCGGCGGACGGGCGGATACGGTCGACATCCGTCGTCGAACGGCTTTTTAGCCTGGAATCACGTGTTTTCCTTTTCAATCCTTCTTTTCCAGGTATTTCCTAGGGTTACAGAAAGCCATTAGCAATTACATATCAAACTAGGTTCTTTCCTGTTATCGGGGGAGGGAGGCAAATTTTTTTGTATAAGTCTAGAAATGCCTGTAGCTTAATAGGAAGAGGCTTAATAGTTTTTTAGCCATATTTATAGAAAAAGGTAGCTAAAAACGTTACAAATGTTTGACAACGTTGAAATTTTGGTTAAGAAATCGTTCATTTTAGCCCGAAAATCGAAATTTTTGATATTTTTTAATAAGTATTTGGAAAGCTTTTACGCTTAAGAATCGTAAACAGCCGTTTAGAAACAGCTCCACGATTTATATATGAAAAATTAAATCCTTAGCAAAAAAATTGCCCCCCTCCCGATAATGGGGAAGAACCTTCTTTTCTATTTCCTTGGGGAGAGAAGGAGATCTAGGATTTATGTAATTCTATGCACATTTTTCCCATTCGTTGAATTTTTAGAAAATCGTCAAATTCCTTTTAATTTTCACCCACCGTAAAGCGCTGCTGTGGCCGCCCATCACAAAAATAGCGGTCGATTTTTCATTCAAACAAACGAGATCTTAGCTTCAAAGTTTTTTATAATTATTGCCAGCCGCCCGGTTTATCCCGGCAAAAGCATCAGCTGGCCGTGCCCAGGCCCTCTTGGCGCATTGCCAACCGCCCGCAACGCGGCACACGCGACGCGTCGCGCCCATGGTGACGTATCGGCCGGCCATCAATGCCACAGACAGCACAGCGCCCGAGCGGCTCGCCCCGGTTTCGCAAACCAGCCCCCGCGCCACCGTTGACGCGTGATTCCGAATCGATAGCCGGGGGTTTTAGTTATATTTTTAAAGCATAACATTCCCTTTTGTCTATCCACACTCCAGCCTCGACCCAAACCACGGGGTTCGCTACGGGACCATTTCGCGGTTCACGTGGAATTGCCCGTCGTCAGCAGCCCCTGCGGCGCTTCCGGCTATCGATTTGCGAACGGTCAACGCGCGGCTTTACGTTTATTTTGAAAACAATAACAGTAGCACGTCTCTGCGGGTTTTTGAGCATTTCCCGGCCTTCGTAAAACCCCCGGGCAAGCTGGGGAACCGGGGGACACGTGGCGCGGGATTTCGATGTTTTCCGGTTGTTTTTGTTGGGTTTCTACAGCTAAAACATGGGTTTACGTCTAGCTGCTAGTCATGTAGTGATACTTACTAAATATAGCTAGCTTCTAAATACTAACTAAGGGAGGTGCGCAGAAATTTGCCACAAAAGCAGCGAAGAAACCCCAGAATCAAGCAAATCGCTGCGATAAAGTCGGGGCTTTAGGATTTTGGCTGCTGTAGCAAGCGCTCAGTTAGCTTATTGCTCTTTATAAAGTATACATATCAGATTGCGTCAACTAGTTTATAAAGAATAGTTTTGAAAAAGTTATTTATGCAAATTTTATTAGCCTTTTTCGCATCAGCTTTATTTTCTATTGCGCGACAATACCTTTTATCCGGGCGTAATTTGGTGAGCCAGGTAGCTCGACAAGTTTTTTCTTGTACCAGCGCTGACCCCCCGCTCCGCGGGGGTTCAGCGCTGGCCCTCCCGGGGGGTAATAAATCAACATCCCATACACCGAAATCCCGAAATCCCGAAACGCCCCGGCTCCCGGACCCGTCCGAACCGGTCCTGGGGTCCCGCAGCGATCCGGTCGGACGGGCGGACGGGCGGGCGGACGGGCGCACGGACATTAGAAATTTATATATACTCTGAATTTGTTGCATCAAAAATTTATCACCTGTTTTGTCATCCTTTGCGGTTTGTAGTCGCCTGCCGCGTTCCGCCGGTTTGATATTTTCTGAGTCATAGTTTCACGGCTTTTGCCCTTCCACGTGTTCCTCTTGTTTCACACCTTTTGCTACTGCAGCACTTTCTAACCCCTCATTTCCAGGAACCGATCGCCCAGTTCGTCAACGCCAGAAAATGACCACCGTTAACCCGGAATAGTAAGTAGCTCTTTCTTTTTTATTTACTTTCTTTTTAGCGACTATCTCTTCAAGCTGCTCCTCATCGGCGACTCGGGTGTCGGAAAATCCTGTTTGCTGCTTAGGTATAGTTTTTTGTTTTTGGCTTTCACCGATCGCTTTTCAGGTTTGCCGATGATACGTACACCGAGAGCTACATTTCCACAATTGGTGTTGATTTCGTAAGTTTGAACGTCGTTATGCTTTAAATTTTGTTTAGAAAATTCGAACTATCGAACTTGACGGGAAGACGATTAAGCTCCAGATTGTGAGTTTTTTTTTGGTGTGCGTTTGGTGTAGTTGACTCGTTTTGCATTCCATTTACAGGGTCATGTTAGTCCATTTTGATCATCCAGATGATCACTTTTTGAACAAAACGATCTTTCCCCCTTGTGATATGGCAGATCATTACTGAAAGGGCACATATCGATTTTTGCCGATTTGGGTTGTTGATAAGATGAGGGAAAGTGGGACTGTACTTTGGATCTGGGAAAACAAGATTGGTTTTGAGTTCTTTGGGGGCTAATCTTTGTTTGTGGCAGCTTCCCGAATTTTGTTGACTGTTTTTATTGTTGTTTTTTAGTGGGACACAGCCGGCCAGGAGCGTTTCCGCACCATCACCTCCAGCTACTACCGTGGCGCCCACGGCATCATTGTTGTCTATGATATTACGGATCAGGTATATTTTTTTTCTATTTAACGACTATTTGGCTTGCCCAGGTTGATTGTGATTTTGCAACTTTTCAAGAATTCGATCCTTCAATTTTCAGGAATCCTTCAACAACGTCAAGCAGTGGCTGCAAGAAATTGACCGGTACGCGTGCGAGAACGTGAACAAGCTGCTGGTCGGCAACAAGTGCGACTTGACAGCCAAGCGCGCCGTCGAGACCGCAGCTGCTAAGGTTCGATTTTCAGGTGTTTTGGATTGGTGCTCCGGGGTTTTACGAATTCTGGTAGGAGATGGCAAGGCACTTGATTAGTCGCAGGAGGAATCAAAATTGCTAAAAATTTCTATTTGAAATCGAAAAGCGTGATTTTCGTCCTAGAATAACCGTAATTTCAAAATTTCAAAAATTTTCGTAAATTTAAGAAAGTTTTTTAGTTTAAGGTTGATAGAAACACTACCCCGCGAATACTCTGCGCTGTTGCTAAGCTTTTGGTTTTTTTTCACTAGCCGACAAAGGCTTTTGCAAATTGCAATGCCATCCAGTCGCAAACCGGTTCCGATATCGATCAGCCCGGCGGGGCTTAATTCGCGTCGCCCTTTCCTCCCCTGTTCGACCGTTTTGGGGGCGACTGGGCGAGTGTTTGTGTGCCGACAAAATCCGCCAGCCATTCAACTGACCTGTCTGTCGTCAGCAATGTAATTGAAACCGGGTGTTGGATAGGGGAAATGTTGCCTAGGCCAGCACACCAGATCGGATTATTGCATCTGTGTTTTGTCGCTTTTGCCATAACGACGCCGTTTTATATCAATTTTTTTTCAGGAATATGCCGACCAATTGTCCATTCCCTTCCTCGAGACGTCAGCCAAGTCGAGCACGAATGTAGAGCAGGTATGAAATACTTGTCGCTCCTCAATTCGTTTTTCAGGCTTTCCTGACGATGGCTTCCGAGATCAAGACTAGGATGGGGCCGATGCAGAATGCAGGTTTGTCGTTTTATTCTTTTTGGATCTAATTTTTGAAATATTGCTGGCGGAACTGTTTCTTAATAGGTTTTTACAGAAGTGCGAATATACAAAATTTTATCAAAAAAATATGAAAAGCATAGAATTTTCGATAAAGTTTCGACTTAGGCTGTTTTATAGTTTTTAGATAGTTTTTCTAGTTCGCACATAGTTATATATTATTAAAAGCTATTAAAATACTTCTTAAGTTGTTAGGCATTTCAAACCTTATACAAAAAAGTCCGGCTTAGCTTGGAAACAAGCTCGGTACTTTAGTTTAAAACTCCGGAACGCCCGTCGGCACGATAACGTTTATCTTCTTTTCAGGAGGCCAACCCTCAGTGCGTATCACCGGTTCGCAGCCGGTGCAGGACAAGAAAGCGGGTGGCTGCTGTTGAAGCGTGTGCATGTGTTCTTCTCGGCGACGCGACCAGAGTGGGCCCCGGATGAGATGAGGATTTTCACCCATTTTTACATGTCCCCCCTCTTCCTCCTGCCGCTCTTTTCGCTCTCCCAAAATTAGTCCACATCTTCTTTCGGTCCCCTCTCTTTTATGTGTGTGCCCTCCCGAATCCAACCCACAAAACGGCTGTGTTTCCCTCCCTTTACCTGGTCCAGCGTGCGGGGTGTGTGCCCCTCTTTTTTCCAAACTCGCCTTTCCACACATCCTACCACCCCCGATTAATCTGTGTTTTAGTGTATCTAATCAAAATGCAAAAACAAGCACATCGCGTATCGTGTCCCTGGCATGCGTTTGTTTGTCTGTACGTTCCTCTTCTAAACCCTATTCGCTGTCTTGTTCTTTGCCCGCCCCCGGATATGCTCCCTTTCGAATAAAGATTTTAATGCATTACTGATGGATGGCGTGCTAGACTGACCGCATGTACGCGTTGATTGGCTGGAATACGCTAATTGGCTAATCGCATGCAGCGGATGGGGCGCTACTTCAGTTTGCTGGCCCCACTTATATATGGCCAAAACCTCATTTTTCTGGTTCAGTTTTTTGCGCTGATTACGGAAAACACAATCCCAGCCCACGAAAATGCGATTTAGTAAAACAATTTAATTGGAAAGTCGGGAAAATTCCATTTTACGGCGGTCGCGTAAAGGAGCCTTTTTGTGGTTTTTAATTAAATAATGGCCAAAAACGGGTTTATCATGAATAAAGTCAGCCAGTAGCATTGTCAGGCAAGGCGGTACGTCGCTTCGGATGGGCTGCCGCTCACTTCTTTCGAAATCGGGGCGCCTGGCCGCTTCGCGCGCCTCGGGCGCCCCGATTTCGAAACCCTGTACGAGCTCGCACCCATCCGAAGCGACTAGGCCCCGGGGTGGCACGAAGCCTTATTTTTAGGAAAAAAAGCGGATGCAATCGCTCAGCCTCGTTGGAAAAAGCTTTTCCACTGTTTTATAGGCCTCCCGCATCAAAACACCGGGTTGACCCCTTTAAAAACTCAAACCAGAAAAATCGAAAATCAGTGTTTTCTCCCTCAAAATTCACGATTTCATTTTCGTGGGCTGGGATAGTGTTTTCCGTAATCAGCGCAAAAAACTGAACCAGAAAAATGAGGTTTTGGCCATATATAAGTGGGGGCCAGCAAACTGAAGTAGCGCCGCGGATGGGGTCCGATACCCGATTGATGGAGCCTAGTAACAATCACCGGCAAGTACTAAAGGACGTGTCTCCTAAAATCGCCGCAACTATTTATTTTCCACATAACGAAAATCTGCGAAATGTGATCGATGCTCCCCGTTTCCCAATTGCAAGTACGAGCTTCTCGTGCATTCTGTAACCCCCTGGCTTGGTACATCATTCCCGAGCAAGTCCGAATAAAATGCCATCTGCACGCCCCGTGATCGGAAATGGCAGAATGCCAGATTAGCGCACAGTATGCGGAAGTGCCGGAAAGCTTTATTTATCTCATGAGAAACAACAGCACAAAAAGCAACAGCAGCGTTGACCACTTTATTCGTCGCTACACATGGTATAAGAAAGTCCCGCTTGTTGGTTAGAAAATGGACGGCGGGTCGTGTCGATCGGTGGGCTGTAGATGGACGGCGAGAAGTTGAAGGTGTTATTGGAGAAGTTGCAGCGCCACCAGACAAGCACCATCTTAGGCGGGAGGGTCAGCTGGAGCCGGGGCGGCCGCGCTCTTTCCACCAGCGTCAGGGGCGTCTGAAACGGCAGAATATGCTAATTCAGACACAAAAGCAACTAATTTAAAACGTGCAAAACCCACTCATCGCCGATTTTCCAGTACCGCCGCCGGCAGCAGCGGGCTCTTCCTTCTTTTTGCCGCCGCACTTCAGCAGGGCGCACGAGATGACGACGCTCGAAACGACGACTCCAAACATGGCAAAGACGAGGTGGTGTCGGTTGAGGCGACGACGAATGCGAGATGTTCGCCGGCAGAGTGAGCTTCGTTTTATAGGAGAATTCCCACGCAAATCGCAGACGACATCCGGATGCTAATTTCCAGATTCCGGAAACGGGCAAGTTCCTCATCCTGCGGTGCGAACTTGCGACTAGCTTTGTTTCCAAGCCGGCGACGCAAGCTTCAATGGTTAGCTTCGTTTCTAAGCCTCCGGCGCAAGCTAGAAACGCTAGCTTTGTTTCCTAGCCTGCGAGGCAGGCTACCAAATAATCGACCCTTCAAAATCTCCCAAAGACGTTTGCCAAAAAAACGCGCGCTTCCACAAAAATCGGGAATTCAGAACGAGTTATTTGATTCCAGTAACTTTTGATTTTCCCTTTTCCAACACTCGCTCCACGGTTCCAGGGAGGAATGTGCTTCCAATTTTATTAAAACTGCCCAAATAATGCATTAACGTTGTCAAAACCGAGAAATAAATAACAAAAAAGCAAGCGAGAAAAAGACGAGTAAACCCTCGAAGGTCGATGTCCACCGCGCCGGCTCATCGGAAGAAGATCTCGCGATCCGGGCATTCCCTCTCGTGTCGCTCAATCTCCGGGTAGCGATAGAGATGCGAAGCATTGTAACGGCACATCGACCAACACTAAAAACAAGGAATTCGAAAAATTAGGAAATTGATTCACCTGGTTCTTCGACGGATTCTCAATGCTGACGGGCGCGTAGCAGCGGTGATCACTAAAAAGGGGTTTCAGCCTTGCTACCGGAACCACTAGGAATCCTGCCCAGAAAAGGGCAGTCCGGGTGAATCAGACAAAAACTCACGCTATTTGCTTCGGCTCCAGCGGTTTCTGTGGCTCGGGCCGAAATTTTGGGTCGAGCGGCTCGATGGTTTTGTACGGACCGTTGTAAATCGGGACAGCCGGCTTCTCTCGCAGCTCGCGGATCACATCTCCGAACCCCTCTTGATTCTTGTGGGCCAACCGGGCGGGCACGGCGGTTGGTGGCAGGTAATTATGATCTGGAGGAAAGGAAAAGTATTTAACCGACAACTTCAAACATACTCGGGTCAAATTTCGGCAGATCCGGGTGCATCTTGTAGCATTGTTCCGGGAACTGGTACTTTGCCAATGGGCAGGCCTCTAGAACAAGATAACTCTTGAGCATTTCAAAGCATTTACCTCTCGGGCTATTCGCGTATTCAGCGTGAGCGAGCTGTGCGGGCAGAAAGACATTCTTCGCATTCTGGCTGACGGTTTCTCCTGAAAACAACTATAAAATTGAAACCGAAAATTTAATGCACTTGCGACGCCGGTCAGCTTGCCGTCGCCGGGGCACGTCGGGGTATTGCCACATCGCTGATATGTAGCGCGGCAAGTTTGGCTGAAAATGAATGTTTTTCACAGGCAGTTAGGCGAGCTCGAGCCCAGGGAGCCCAAAAGGACCAAAGGAGCTTAAGGGACTTCGAGTTATATTAAGTATCATTGACATTAATTTTGGGCTATTATACTAGTATTAGTGCATTACTACAAGATTTAATACGAATTACGACTTTTATAACCTTTACCGCGAAAAAGTGTCTTGGGCTCCTGGGCTCCTGGGCTCGAGCTTTAATTAAAATGATTTCAAAAAGAAATAAAACACGTTCAGCAATAAAAATGCGAAATCTTACGAGTGCGAAAAATCGAACCGCACTCAAATAGTACGCTTAGCACCGTTTTACGGCCAGAGTACTGTTGCGGAACGAAACGGCGCTCCGCGGATTTTGTTTGAGTTTCATTTTTTATTTTTTAAATGTATTTTTCAATTTCATGAATTTAGAAAAATACTTGTAATGTAATAAAATACTAATAAAGACTTTTAGGATTATCTCTATCCCGCGCCAGCGCTTCAGGCGCTCTGAAAAGCGTTGACGATGCGCATTGAATAGTAAGTTACTTTCGTTATTCATTCCTGTCTTTTTCAGCGATTACCTCTTCAAGCTGCTCCTCATCGGCGACTCTGGCGTGGGCAAATCGAGCATTTTATTGAGGTGTCGAAATGATTTTTTCTAAAGCATTCTGTATAGATTCGCCGATGACACGTACACGGACAGCTACATTTCAACGATCGGCGTAGACTTTGTAGGGGATTCTATGTCGATTTCATTTTTGTTTTTAGAAGATCAGAACGATCAATCTGGATGGGAAGATGATCAAGCTTCAGATTGTGAGTTCGCAAATTCCATCTTATTTGATTGATCCTTTTTTAGTGGGGTCACAGCGGGCCAAGAGCGTTTCCGCACGATCACTTCCAGCTATTATCGCGGTGCACATGGTATCATCGTCGTCTACGATGTGACCGCTCTGGTTTGCAATTTTTTTATGTTTTGGTATTAATTTTTGCTTAGGAAACGTTCAAGAACCTTGAGCAGTGGATGCAAGAAATCAAGCGGTACGCCACTGATAATGTGAACAAGCTGCTGGTCGGAAATAAATGCGACCTGGGCGAGAAGAGGGTTGTTCCCGCGGAAACGGGCAAGGTATCGTGTGCAAATTTAAAGAGATGAGGACGGAATCTGTTGAACCCCCTGGGGGGGGGGCCGGCCGGTCCCGCGAACGCTCGCGAGAGAGGGCTCCCAGGGGAGGCGCAGAGACATTTTCCTTCCCGTAACCGATTGACTTATGCCGCCCCTACCCCTTTTAAACGTCTAGGCGCTGGTTCAGGAATTTGCGGACAAACTGTCGATGCCGTTCCTCGAGACCTCTGCCAAGCAAAGTACTAACGTTGAAGAGGTATATTCAATTTTATCCTCTTGATGATATGTTTAGGCCTTCATCACGATGGCGTCGAGTATCAAGGCGCGGATGGGGCCAGTCGGGCAGACCTCAGGTGATTTCTGCTGGCTTCTGTTGTGTTCTGTTTCAAATATAAGAGCGGAAGTGTTTCTAAACCGTTTTTAGCCTTGTGCAAGCGCAAAGACTTTACAATTTTTATAGAAAACCCATAGATTTCTCGACAAAAACGGTCATCTTGGACAAAAATTTCGACTTTTTGAAAAAATGTGAAAGTTTTTAGATGGTTTTCTAGTTGCAATACCTTTACGCGTTGTGAATAGTTTTATTAAAATACTGTTAACTTGCTATTAAGTTACTGAACCTTGCTTGGCTTACACAAAAAGTTTCGGGTCTTTTCGACAGCGACAACGGCCTTTTTTCAGACGCTCACCCGGCTGTCCGTATCAAGGGTTCGAAGCTGATCGAAGAGGACCGAGGGCTCTGCTGCATGTGAATAACAAACGGACGGAATGCATTTGATTTTCCTTTTTGTGTGCTACATTGGATGTCGATGAATAAAGCGTTTTTCTAACAGACATCAGTTTCGTCTCCGAGATTTTTGCATAGGAGCTTAATTAGGAACTTCCGGTCTTAGGTGCCGCAAATTTCTGTAGCGCGACAAGGTCAGTCCACATTTCCGATGGGCCGACACCGCAACCGGTCGGGATCGACGAGCTGCTCGTCCAAACGCTCCAGTAATAAGGTTTTTCTATTTTTTCGTTTCCCTGCTTTTTATTGCAGCCCCGTCAGCGGAAATATGAGCGCGAGCCGGAGAGTGATGGGTTGGTTTTCCAGGACCTGCAGCTACGACCAACCACAAACCTATTGACGTTCGTAGGTCGATGAACAGCAGTCCCACATCGCGTGCCAGCACCAATGACTCGTCGCGCAACTGCTCGTCTCGGTCGAGCCCCGACAAACAGCTGGTGGGAGGCGTCGTAGAAGCACCTCCCTCGGATATCGACGCCAATCTGCAGTTCTTTGTCGGGGTAAGGATCATCTAAAATTCTGGTCTATCGGCCGTTGTCTAGAACAAACTCGGCCTGGCCCCGCAGAAGCCGAGCGCCGAAGAGCTGGAACAAAAGCCCAGGCGCAGTAAGTGTTAGCTTTGTTTCCGGGCCGGGAAACTCATAAACCCGTTGCCACTTTCAGGATCGGTCGACTCCTACTTTGTCGGCGTGCACCGCTCGGCCGACGTTGAGCGCCAGCTGCGCGGGCCCAACGACTTTGTGTTCTACTATCGCGTAGGGTTCTTGAATTATTTCAAGGCCCGCTTCTTCTTTCAGCAGCCCTCCTCGCTGAACATCAGCCTCTACCTGTGCCTGTTCGTCGCCTATCAGAGCACGGCCGGCAGGGTCTACCACTATAAGGTGATGACCAAGAAGACGAACGGGCAGAAGAAGTGGTTCGTCGACTGCGGCGAGGTCTCGCCCAAGGAGGTCGGAAATTCGGCTAATTTTTGATTGTCTGTCTTTCAGTTCAGCTCGCTGGAGCGACTGATCAGCTCCTACACGACGTACTGCTACGCGGGACCCGGCTTCGAGAATCTCGACATTTTCCCCGTCGATCTGGTAAGGGTTCTGGAGCCCCTGACCCTATTTTTCCGGATGGTTCAGCCGCCGGACTGGGAGCTGCACTGCGACGACGACACGACCTTCTAGCCGCCGACGACTCGAGAATTCACGAATCCTGATGGCCAACAATTACCCGCTTAAAATTTCTCGATCAATCTTCACGCTCATTTACTCGTTTAATTTGTCTGGCGAATAAATGCATTTTCGGGTGTGTTTTTCTTGCATCCGAGATCTAGTGAAGTACTATGGGCTTGTGGAATGTATTTTTCTGTTGTTTCGGCAGACGTTTAATGAAAATTGTCGAAAAAACTGGCGTTCCCCGTTGGCATGGGTGATCTCGATGAATGGCGTCCAGCCGGACGATACGTGCTGCTTCAACTGACTGGCGAGCGTGTGCGCTGTAAAGGTACAAAGGTAGGCTAGCAGAGGTTCTTTGCGGAAAACTCACGCGTGAGCAAGTCGGACGGGGTCTTGGCCGGCGAAAAATGGAAGCCAAGGTCGCTGGATAGGCGGCGTGACTAATTTTCGTTTTCAAACTTTTTTATAGAAATACCAATTTCCGGCGCGGGCTCGGCAGCAGCGTCAAGTTGGCCGGCACGGAGCGCTTGAGCTAAAAATTGGGTCCTTTCGCATTATCGGGGGGAACTCTTTTCTGAGGACCCAATTTTGGAAATTATAAATAGGGAAAGTGCTTCGAAAAAGGTGTTTCTAATTCGTAAACGTGAGCACTTTTCCAATTAAAAAAATAGCAAAAATATTGATTTTCAGCAAAAATCGACGATTTTTAACCAAAATTTCCTTTTCAGGAATTCTTTAAGTTTTAGAAAGGTTTTCTAGTTGAAACCTAGTTATTTTTCACTAAAAACACGATTAAAACACATTTTTGTATAAGGAAAAGTTGTGTACCTTATTGTTCTCGTTGTACGACGGCATCGATATCGATCGGCATAGCAATTCGTTTCTTGGGGGAGCCAAATTTTGCATAGACTGTTGCCCGGAGCTGCCGGGAATCTTAAAAAACTAGTTAAAAAAGAAGCTGAAAAATAACGAAGTAAATCGACAATTCAGAACAAACCTCTTCACATAGTCGCGCGATGTAGTCGTTCTTTTGCGCCAATTCCTGAAGACGTTCAAGGTTATATTTTGTTGCGTTTTGCTTTCATTTTATTTTTGTTTTTAAAATGGTCCTTAAATGAATCAAACGAACTACGCTTTGGGGAGGATTTATTTCTATTTGACCCTTTTCTGACCTGCTTGAGCGCGTCGATTTCCTGCTGCAGCTCGTTGATCAGCTGCTTGGTTGTTGCGGATAGCGCGTGGCCGCCTCGGCGTTGCAGCTCGCGGCGCAGCGCCAACTTTGCTGCGGGTTCAGGTGTACCGGGGGCGCCTAGAAGTTCAGATATGTTTAAAAACTTTAGAGCAATTGTTTTCATAGTGTTTTTAGCAAAAATAAAACTAGTTTCAATTAACGAAATTTAACTAAATTATTTTATTTTATTATTTTTAGTTATATTTAATCTTCCAGATTAATACCAGATTACAGTAGATAGGACATTAATTGAAAGCGGCACATATGTGTAAAACAGACGCGAATGAATACAGCCTAAATCATAAATTTTACGAAAGATATTTTTAACTGCAAATTTTGAAGCAGTGCTTCGGCAAAATCATATTTCGGCAAGCTGGAATTTCGACAAAGTACGTTCAACATTCCAATTTTCATAATAAAAATTAACGCGACACTTACCTTTAAAATCGGATCTTCGCGTTACTTATCTTGTAAAAACTAGTACCACTTTTCAATTTTTGAAAAATGCCTTGTTTTCGGAGAAAATTTTGGTTCTCTCGCAACTA